AGCCTTCCACCGAGCCTTCTCAACTGGTGTAGCTAGCTGCTGAAGTGACGACATGTTGTCAGTGAAGGAGGAGACAGGCATTCTAACAAATGAGTGTAAGGTGCGTGAGGTGCGAGAGGAATCAGACTCTTCCTTTGCGGCTGAGTCAGCAGGTAAATTAGCAGACCCAATTTCTTAGGGAAACTGGGTCTGTACTGCTTGCAGAAATTGTCTACACTTCCAAATAGCCACAAAATCGTGCACTACCCCAAAAGCATAGCGTGAGTCAGTGTAAATAGTCACGGTTTTGCCTTCTGCAAACGTGCAGGCTTCAGTTAGTGCGATGAGCTCTGCTGCTTGTGCTGAGACATGGGATTGGTCCGGAACGGAATACAGCAGAATCTGAAACAATAGAAAAACACCTCACCCGATTAGTGCCCCCTTGGTCGCGAGAGGCAGACCCATCAACATACAAAATGAGGTCAGCGTTGGTCAGAGGAACGTCTTTTAAGTCCGGTCTAGGTGTGCACACAGTCGTGTTCGTCACCTTCAGGCAAAGGTCAATAAGAGGGTTCTTACACCTTTTCCAAAGTCAAATTCAAGCACTTTTCAAGCTTTTTCAAGGTGCACTTTTCAAGCTTTTCAAGCATCTTACAGCTGTTGTAAATTACATATTTATATGCACATACTCAAATGATTATTTCCCTACCTCACATTAACTCAGATGTTCTTTATGCTATAAACAACCACATGTGTGTTTCGTGATAGCATTTTACACAAGGATGAAAAATTAAAGAAAAGAAAACTAAGTTTAATATTAATATCAAAATGAGTGATCTGTACGTCTAAAAACCCAATTCAAGCGACCTTTCACCTCCACTTAATTAAATGCACTGGTTGCAAGATAAAAAATGTGAGTTAATTGATTTAGATAAACAGTTTAAGTTGCAACATTAATTTATAAGTTGTGTTGATGTAATAATGTTGGTAATTACATCGTGTCATTTGAACTCTGATTTCTGCATTAATTGACTTCACCCTAAATTCAAGTCGAGGTATTGTAATGCAATTGGCTTGATAACTTCATTGTTCTACACCTTGAGTTAAGGATTTCAAGTCCACTCCCACTTAAGATGCCTGGACAAGTTCCCACAGTTGAGACAAATAGAAATATACAAAGGACATTTTAAGGTGAGTGTCATCTTCTGTCATTCAAATACAACTTGAAATTCAAACTCTCCTGATTGAAACATCATGTGTTGAAATAAACAACTGCAGTTCAAAAATAAAAAGCGAATTGCCTAATATTTTTGTTATGAAATCAATTAATTTCTTTCTTTAAAGGCAAAACCTGAATAAGCTAAGAGGAAAACCCTATTGAATACAATATTTTGGAGAAACTTAATTTACAAATGGCTGTCAACTTAAAAACATCTGTCCATGTTCAACATGTGGTAATTAAGTATACATAACTTAAGATTACATTTAAATCATACGGTAAAACAAGTTGGAACGTTTGGAGTAATCAACTTAAAACCTTGTGTTTATGCTACCAATTATTAAGTAAGTGGTAATTGAAAACACCTCTGATTGTAGAGGAAAAGCCTTTTCCCCTAACTCAAATAATTTTGTTCCTTTAACAAAATTTCATTAGAAGTTGTCTTAACTCAATAACCATCGATGCAACCTATTGCCTTGATTCTCTTTGTTAAGCCAAGCATTTGTTTTTAGAGTGTACGTAGACTGGGCCTCAACATACAACCTGGCTGAGCCGATATAAAAACAATCAGCCAAATAACTTTTCAAAACATCATTGATTACTATTTTTTTTGAGGTACTTTTAGGTTGGCAGTAAACATAAGTCAGAGGTACCTGGTGTACTTTTCCTTCACTTAATTATTTAATACCTTTAGTTACTTCACAGATCTGGATGAACGATGTGAAATATAATCAAGTGATATAATCAGACTTTAGTTCCACCTGGAGTAAATCCACAAGCTACCCTGCAGTATACAAAGTCATTCAACCTAGCTGCACCTTCACCAGCTTTGAGAACACTTTCATGATCAATCATTATCAAACATATCATATATATTATTCTGAAATGGACCAATCTGCACAATGAATACTTTTACTGTCGCTACTTTCACTATATTATATATATATTATATATATATATATTGAATGCAGGACTTTTACTGTACCACTCTGGTACTTCTACTTTTATTCAAGTACAATATCTGAGTACTTTAGTCTGAATTTCTAGCTACAAAATCACGCAGCGCTGCATAAAAATAACCTCACAATGGTAACAAGTGGAAAATAATATTTACAAATGTGTACAATGATTTGTAGGTAATTTTGACTACTCAAAACACCTGACTTATACAAAGGAAGACTGTGTTCATTCTACAATTACATGGGATTAAAGTAACATGTAGTTTTACTTGTATAATATTTCCATTTTGTATAAAAGACCGTTTGTTTTAATCTGTTTTAGAATAAACAAAGTATTGGCTTCAGAATACCAAACTTGTTTCGGCAAATTCAGATGATAAATACAACTTTGAAACTTGTAACGGCATAATTACAAGCAGAGAACGGAGTAATGTAACATCACAACAAGCATAACAACAGCCGTGTGTTATGAACACTGCTGTGGGTGCGCAAATCATGAGGTCATCAAACTGGCCTTGTATGAGAGCGATGCCTTTAGAAACTTGTAGAGAGACCAACCTTGTACACAATGCCTGGTTGTACACAGTAGCCTTGACACAAACGTGTGAATCTGTAAGGTTTACCCTTATATTCAAATGTGAACAAAACACTGGCTTGACTGTCTTTGTGTACAGGAACACTGAAAAATGCATTTGAGAGATCTTATTACAGTAAAAAAATGCTGCAGAGGCTGGAACTTAGGAAAGAATCAGATAAGGACTTGGGACGAGCGTGCATAGCTGCATAGCATTTACAGCTGTAAATCCTGGACAAATCTCCACTCGTCAGGAGGTTTTGTCTCTGATCTTTTTGACATGAAACACTGGAGTGCGTACCGGAATCGTTACACGGAATAATGACCCCTTGTTTAAACAGAGAGGTAAACACTGAGTCCATCAACAGCTTCACGTTTTCAATAACATACGTCATATCTGTGAGCTGCCCAGAGTGAGTATGGCACATCTGAAAGCGCGGTAGGAAGCTCAGAGATATGAGAATTACCTCACCATCCTCAACCAACAGCAATGTGCGCAGAACGGCTACGTTTGTGCACATTTTCATCTTATACATGTCACCTGACATATAGTACATAACATATTCTGTGTGTGCAGGTGTCTAATCAGTGACTGACTCCAAATCTTTAACGATTGGATCCAAATCCCTCTATCTCTCAGTGGGCCCCCTGGCTAGTGAAATGTCTGGACCGCCCCTGGGATTTGACACAGTTTGTGTTGTGTGGGTGCGAGTGCAACAGGAACCAGCGCTGCGCAGCAAACTCCAATACATAGTTTTAAGCATGAGCTCATCATTCACACATTCTAACAGAAAAACTCATCATAGCATTTACACAGATTAACAACATTAACAACGTTAGCACGTATAATGCAAATGAAGCTTCCATGAACACCGCAGGTGGAAAACACGTTGATCAGTCAAACCGCAACAACGCCTGAGAATCAGGATATGTCAGCAGCCATTTGATTCACATTCACACAGTTCTTTATCATCAAATGCCAGTTTTTGAACCATCGTAGGAGATGGCTGCCGGACTTTAAAACCCTCATTTGTTGAAAAATTAGGTCTAAGCCGAACCGGAGAATCAGATCTCTGCCCAGTAAATTGATTAGGCAGACGGAGGATAAAAGAAACTGTTTTTTTACTGATGTGGGAAATGGATTGACTATTATCACCGTTATCTCCACTCTGAAGTGATAAAAAAAACTTCTCCTTTACAGTTACCCCAGCCGCTCCTATTGAGTGCATAAATCTACCACTAAATTTGCAATCAGGCAAATCTGCCCTTTTTACTATAGAACATCAACACCCATGATAGCTAAAGTTAGTGTGGGACATTTCTCAAATGCTGTTTCACTGTCATATTTCAAATATGTACCCTCTTTAACCACAGGCATGTCTTCTACATTTTCCAATTTTCAATGTTTTCGATGTGTGTGTGTGTATTCACTTCCCTGGTTCGATGATGCTGGCTGAATTTCCATCTCGCTCGATCGGGTCCCCTCCTCCCCATCTGGTGTAGGTCAGTCTGATTGTGAATGACGTCCTTGCTGTCCCCCTCTCTGCCTCCACTCGCCAGTGTTCTGTGAGCAGTCCCATAATCCAATGTTCAACACTGCCACACTTGAAACATCTTTCTCAAATGAAGGTCTTGCTTCTCGTCTTCTGCCTCGGAAAACCTCTTCTGCCTCTCCCTCGGTATTGTGACTGGCCAGCATTCTGCGTAGCTTGCGCTGTGTCTGTGAGTCCGTTGAGAAAGGCATTACTGAGGTGTGTTGCCCAAACACCTGCTTGGGCTTGGGTTTGTTTATCCCGCTGTTGTCCCCATCTACTTGGGGCTGATGGGGGTGGACGAGCTTACGGGGAGTCTGTTGACTGCATGGCTGGGACTTGTAGTGGCGGTGGAGGTGGTTGAGGTGGCCCAGCTGGATTGCCAGGGTTGTACCCCGGGGGAGGGAAAGGATACCCAGTCGAGGAGAGGTCATTCAGGCCTGCAATGGAAGAACACAGAGATGTCTGGGGTTTACATGGTTTTGGAAATAATTTATTTTCCTTCTTTTCTTCACATTCATTCCAACCTTAATATTTTCTTTAATGCCCAAGGCCAACTGCCTTCTTTCACGGCATTCTGCTTAATCCTCCCAGTATTTATTATAAACACTTTCTGTGAGTGTCCAGTTTTCTATATAAGTCTTTTACTTTAACTTTATTTGTATTTCTACTTCTTCTTGAAGAATACATTTATTCTTTAGTTTCTTGATTTTTAATTTACTCTAAAAAAACCTCCCTTTGGAAATCCGAACATTTCCGTCCATATATCTAATTTAGACAGACTGTTTTCACCATTTCTTACTCTCATGACGTCTACAATCGGCCCCCCAGGAGGTTGTACAAGCCCCCTACTTTGCCTTGCTCCCATGACAAAATCTGTGATATTTGTTCCCCAGTACAAACCACGCAAAAACTAATCGTAAACCCACGATCTAGGACGGGATACACCCTCTGTGATATTTGTTCCCCAGTACAAACCACGCAAAAACTAATCGTAAACCCACGATCTAGGACGGGATAAAACCCTCTTCGAGCAGCCCCTTTCATAAACGTCATGGAGTTTTAATTACGTTTTAACTTTAAACAATTTAGACATTGTACATCTCACCCAGTATTTGGAAAGCCTTTTTAAGTCCGTTTGATCTCGTGAAGTCAATCGGTTCCACCCCCGGCGCTGGTCCTCTCGTCCCGTACGGTTTCTGTCGGGGTAGAGGAAGATCCGAGGATCCTGGAGCCGGCCACCACCAGCGTCCGGAGGTGTTCCCAATCAAACTTGCAGAGACCCTGCTCGCAGCGCCAATTGTTATGGAAATCTAAAAACCCCAATACTGTAGAGTACAAGTCAGAAAACAAATAAATGGTGAATCAGACAGTTGTCTTTCTGGTGATGTTTATTCGAGGCCTCAAACAAACATCAGATACAATAAAATATAGACACAGGTCTCACAGAGTATAGGATAGTCTGCGCGAGTGTGCGCAGTTTAATATAATAGCAAAGCAATATAAAGGGAGAGTAAAAAGGTGGGGAGGAGAAGAAATCTTCACACGGTCACATTGTTATTAGACACCTGGCCTTGAGCTGTAGAAGTTCTCGTGTGACTTTGTGTGAGTCAACTCAGTAGCCAAAACAGCTCTGTGGCCTTGAAGTAGGATAGATAGAGCAAACAGCACATCTAAGCAAATGAGAAGCATTTGGTTTTAACATATCAGGATATAATAAAATGTCCACTACAATATATATATATTGTGGTGACACGTTATTGGACATAATTCACCTTGCTTATTGTGTTGCCACACGGACCCTTTAGGGGGGAACACCTGTAGCTTTAGCTGCCATTCCTGCTAGCTCATCAGGCAGAGCAGTGCATGTGTTAACCTCTCTGAAAGTAATGGATAATAAAGATTGGAACTCCATTCTTAATACACTCTCTTTTCACGGCACTACAATATATATATATATATATATATATATATATATATATATATATATATATATATATATATATATATATATATATATATATATATACACACAAGTTGACCGTGAAAATAAACGATCTGACAAATTAAACACTATTGGAGGATCAATTTACAGCTATCACAATAGAAAAGTAGTATATTAGCTTAGCTAGCTAGCTAGCTTAAAATCAAATGTCTAATGGTACAGTACATACTGACTTTTTTCTTTTTTACACAATCCGACGTACCTCTGTCTTTGACTTTCGATTCCTCCTGTTCTTTTTTCCGTTTCCTTCCCGTTGCCCCTGAAGGCTTGGACCTTTTCATAATGCTAATTGTTTGCCTCTTGCTGTCTTGCAATCTCCGACACTTTCAGCTGGAGCTGGCGCGTCACTTTGGCTGTGAGCCGCGGCCCGTGGGTGCCAGATAAGCGACCATCCCCCCTTTCATCACTTACAGTTACAGCGCCCATCGTACAGGGCAAATGCAAAATGTTGCCGCCGGCCCGGGGTGCAAAGGGTGTTTACTTTATACAATTATTAATGTAAACGTATTACATCAAGGGCATACAATTAGGCCCGTCGCACTGGCGTTATAGATGTTCGCCTAGGGCGCCAGATCTGTGGAGGCGCCGCGCTGACAGCTCTGGGAGGGAAGAAAATGTTTTGACCGTTGGTGCTCATCCTAATTTTCGGCCTTGATGTAACAACATTCATAATTAAGTAAATGTAACACCCTTTTCACCCCGGTTACACTTTTCATTTGCCCTGTACGATGGGCGCTGTAAGTGATGAAAATGGGGGATGTTGGCTTATCTGGCACCCGCAGCTCACAGCCAAAGTGCGAGTGAGCAGGGAGAAAGGGAGGGCGCTGTTGTTATTAGCATCTGGTGCTAGCTGCTCTAACGGAAGAAGATGTTTCTACAATGATGTGGAGGGAGAGTCCTCTCCAGTCAGACTGAGGCTAATAACTACAGCTCAGTGAGGTAAAGGACTCTTGAGTGTTAGTAAACTTTAGTCTAAGTTATCTCAGTGGGTCTCAAACGTTTTGATCACAATTTATGTAAACACATATTTCCCTTATAATTATTGGGATAAAACAGGTTTGAAATCATTCCAATGTATACTATAGGACAGTAAACCAGACATATCGTTTTAAAACTGGAGATAAAAACATATGCATAAATAAAATAGTAAAATAAGATATGAATGAACAACAAAAATAAAAACACGTACATGTATTTGTTATTGGCTATGGTAGGTTATTGGTTATGTTCACATACTTATTTAATTATTAAAATGTAAACCGATCTTTTTCATATGGGTGTTTAGAGTTGTACCCCTTAGATCTAGATCTCAGATTGAAGCATTTTACTTTAAAATGTTCAAACATTTCTTCCCGGTATGCCTGAGAAGGCAGATATGCTTGTTTTTCTCAACAATAACTGTTTTTAAATGGGGGGGGGGGGGTTCCTTTAAAAGTTGGACTGTTGCACTGTTGTAACTTCAGTGGTTCTCAGGTTACAGTTACATAGCAGTGAATATAAACAGACTGATTAATGTGAATATTACTGTAAACTAACCTATGTAAAAGTTACTCGAATAAATGTAATTTTTTTGGTGGAAGAAGCAATTTATAATTTTTTTTTACCCTGCCCTTCAAAGAATCGGAATTGAGAACCGTTAAGAACCGGAATCGGAATCGGAATCAGAATCGTGGAAATTCAAACGATACCCAACCCTAGTTATAAGTAACGGTACGTCCACACAGCAGCTTTTCAAAAATCTTGGAGCTGGGCGTGTCTGAAAGCTTGGGGATTTCGCGACCAACAACCAATCACATGAATCTCCCGCCCCCGATATACAAAGCAAAAAACCCCGGTTCTTCTCCACTATGTCTTTTAACATTTTGAACATTTATGAGATTAATGTCTATGGCAGTGCTGGAATTGGGCCGGTACTCACCGGTACGCAGTACCGGCACTTCTGGTTCTGACCCATGGAGTACCGGCACTTCTTGCTCAGTACCGGCATGCTGGCGGTACTCCGGTACTCATGCACCGTGCCAGTACTCAACACTCTCCCGCCGTTCTTATTATACATCCATATATATATATACAGCCGCCCGGTACTCAGTAGATGCGTCATGAGGTGCCGAACGGACATTCTCATCGCTCTAACCGCTGGAGTTTCACAGCGGCTGTCAGCTGTTTACTCCTGTCATTCAAACAGAACGTGCTGGAGAGGGGGCGGGGCTTATCTTCTCCATGTAAATACTGTGGTGGAAACGACTATGTCAAAATTAACCTATTTGACCGTGATTTAATAGTAATACACGTTTCAAAATAATAATAATAATAATAATAATGCCGAAGTAACAACATACTGAAAACTGTTAGTAAAACCATGTTTTAATGCTTTACAATTTACATACCTAGATGCACGTGTGTTGTGTTTATGCAGTGCAACTCCCACCCAGTGGGTGGCTATGTAGAGTGATAGAACAGAGCAGGCACGCCCCCGAGAGAAGGAAAGCAAGTCACGTCACAAATTAGCATTTCTAAAATGTTAGCGTTGATTAATAAAAGTGCAAAAAGACAGCGGTTGTCGCCGGAAGAAGAAACTTCAAATACAGAGAATGCTGTGCCTGTGTTGGAAATTGTGTCTGATGGGGAGCTTTCTTTGGTTGATCCTCCTGCTCCAAGTTCTAGTGCATTAGCATTAGCACTAGCTCCGCCGCCTCCTCCAGAGCCTCTAACGTTAGCTGCTGCTGGCGCAACTGCCACCACCAACTCCGGGCAAAGCGATGCACCTGACTGCTGGACAACGGACCAGGTGCAATATTTTTGCAAGACCAATGCATGGCTCGTTCTTAAAGATAAGAAGCTAGGATGTCGGATATGCAGAGATGTCAAATCTTTGGGAATACACAATGGACAAGGACTGAAACTGTCAACTGAATGGGGTGAGTGTGCAGTGTCTCATTTCGGTGTTGACAAGGGCAAACAACAAGCTAGCCTGAGAACAAAAATCAAAGAACATAAAGAATCACAAGCCCATGTAAAAGCTGCTGACATCCTTACATCTGCTTCACGTGAAACTATTCAACATCAAGTGCAGTCTATGCATAAATCTGAATTAGACACCACTATCAGAGTTTTTCGAACGGCATATAAAATTGGCAAACATAGCCGGCCATTCACAGACATGCCAATTGATTTGAATGTACAGAAACTGAATGGGCTGAACGTGGGCAGGGTTTTGCACTCCAATAAAACCTGTGGCGAAATCATCGACCACATAGCTCATGAGCTGAAGAAAAAAATGGCAAAAGACATTACAGAAAACCAAAGAAAACTCTGTGTTTTGGTCGATGAATCTACCACTATTAGTGGTAAAACGGTGCTTGTTGTGTGTCTACGCTCAGCATTAGCTGATGCTGAGCCCGAAACGTTTTTTTGGGAGCTGATCGAGTTGGATGGAACAACGGCTGATGACATCACAAAGGCGTTAATGGAGTGTCTTGGAAGAGATTTTAACGAGGACTTTTTAGGTCAGTGTTTCGTTTCTTTTGCATGTGATGGGGCTTCAGTCATGCTAGGGAAGAGAACAGGCGTTGCTACCCAGTTGTGTAGTAAATTCCCAAGCCTGTTTGTGTGGCACTGCTCCAATCATCGTCTAGAGCTGGCAGTTGGGGATGTGGTCAAGGAGGTCTCAGGGCTCAATCATTTCCAGATCTTTTTTGACAAACTCTATTCCTTGTTCCATGCCTCCCCCAAAAATCAGAGGCAGTTAGCGCAGTGTGCGCAAGCAGTCGGACAGCGTCTCCTGGTGATAGGGCGTGTTTTGTCCATCCGCTGGGTGGCTTCAAGTGAAAGGAGCGTCAGAGCAGTCTGGGAAAACTACCGAGTGCTTCATGATCACTTCACAAATGCTGCAAACGACACGAGCAGGGATTCCAGAGACAGAGCAAAGTACAAGGGCCTGGATGATGTGCTCACATCTGCAACGTTTGTCAGCAATCTGGGACTGATGTACGATGCGCTCACAGAGCTCAGCGACCTCTCTCGGCAACTCCAAAAAAGAGAGATGACACTGCCTACAGCAGATAGGCTCTTAACTCGAGAAATACGAGTTTTTGAATCCATGGTCACCATGCCTGGCCCACACATGACTACAGTTCATACAGCTCTAGCTGAGAAGTCCTTCAAGGGTGTTGCCCTGCGTGAGAATGGCAGGCTTGTACAGATTCATGCAGGTCAGTTTTTTCCGCAGTATGGTAGATAATCTGAGACACAGAATGACTTCCACAACCTCCTCTCATGTCAGCACAAGAGAAATCCCATTACATGGCCGGGAGGCCCGGGACAATCAGCTAATCCAGGACATGAAAGTTATCCATCCTGGAAGTTGGCCTGAAGAGGAGTTAGACGTACAGTATGGGGACATAGAGGTGCTACGTTTGTGCGAAGTGCTGAAAGTGGACAGAAGAGAGACTGTTCAGGGCTTTCGCGAATACAAGGAAACCAGGGCATCCCGTACACCTGCTGCCATGGAGCCTCTACTGAAAGCAGTCCGAACCATCGCTGTCTCCACTAGTGAGTGTGAGCGGGCATTCAGCTGCATGAACGATATCCTTACTGCAAAAAGGAATGCTCTCTCTGTCAGCCGACTGTCCAGCCTGGTTTTCATTAAATGTAATGGACCATCACTAGGACAGTTCAATCCGGAACAGTATGTGAGGTCCTGGCTGGCAAAGGGAAGGAGAAGTGCTGATGAAAGAGCCTGTCCAGCTCCAGCCCCTGATACTGATGTCCCCAAGGCCTTCTGGAGCCTTTTCTAACAATGTGAAGTATATTGCAAAGCAGTTCACCCAGTGAGAAGACTTTTGGCATAATGTGCCGATTTGTACAGATCCTGGAGATAGAAGGACTTCAGACCAACCAGGGAGTTATCTGATCAGCTTGGTGTTCAATGTAACTCTTTACCATGGCTCAGACTTTGTTACTTGCAGTTACAGTTTCTCATTTTAGATTGTGCAAATGTTGCATTTGTTTTTACATGTTCTTTGTTCATGCTCTTTATCATTTTTCTGAGTTGAAAAGTTAGATTGCATCATAGTTTACTTTATACATATTTGTATTCTTCAGTGGTGAAGTATATTGCAAAGCAGCTCAGCCATGTGAGAAGACTTTTGGCACTTTTTCGTTTTCTGAGTTGGAAAGTTAGATTGCATTCAAAATGTACAGAAATACTTAATTTTGTTAAAGCTTTTTATAAAAAATGCTTTTGACCAGAGCTTTGTTTCCTTGTCATTAATGTTGAACACCACCAGAGGGGCTCTCACCTGAAAGGTCTCTGCTTCATGTGTCTTCAGCAGAAGATCTAGACTTTGATTGCTATATTTTCAGTTAATATTGACCTTACTGAGCTTTAGCCATATCCGCTGCCTATCATAACAAATGTTAAGTACAGTGAACCTTTCTAAAATATACAGTAGTAAAGAGACAAACCCACCAGCATTATAGTAGCCAAATTCTTGTTTGTGGGCTGTATATATAAAATTGACTTGAAAAAGTTGCTGATTTTAGAGTACTGGCACCTTTTTCATTCCAATTCAAGCACTGGTCTATGGTGCTATTTTATGCTACATTCCATGCTGGCTAATGATACTGTCTATGCTTGCTAGCAACGAAGTAAACTAGCAACGAAGTAAACTGGATATAAAATCCCCAAACAAGCAAAAACCTACCAGTTTCACCCACTGTCTCTGCCACCTCCCTCCATGCCTGGTTCCTCCGGTTTGTATCCCGGTAAGTAAATAGGGACTGGTCATAAAGAACCGGGTGATTTGCTACCGCAATAACTAAGTTCTCCTCCATTTTTGTGGAATATAGAAATGAACTGCGGGTCTGGTTCTCCCAGCTTGCACGCGGTTTGATTGGCTAGCGCTTGAACTGTCAGATTTGCATAAATGGATCTGATTGGCTGTCGCTTCCAGCTCAGCCTCAAAAGTTGAACATTGTTCAACTTTGGAATCCTGAACATCCTGGAAATCCTGGAAATCTTCGCCTCGCCCCCCCACAATGCAGTTCGGCGACAAGCGAGGGGAAGTGACGTCATCCCCATTCAAAGTCAATGGGCGGAGACGCGCTGGAAGCGGTGGACAAATCGCCAAAAGCTGCTGTGTGTACGGGCCGTAACGGTACGTCCACACAGCAGCTTTTCAAAAATCTTGAAAATCTTGGAGCTGGGCGTGTCTGAAAGCGTGGGGATTTCGCGACCAACAACCAATCACATGAATCTCCCGCCCCCGACATACAAAGCAAAAAAACCCGGTTCTTCTCCACTATTTCTTTTAACATTTTGAACATTTATGAGATTAATGTCTATGGTGCTATTTATGCTACATTCCATGCTGGCTAATGATACTGTCTATGCTTGATAGCAACGAAGTAAACTGGATATAAAATCCCCAAACAAGTGAAAACCTACCAGTTTCACCCACTGTCTCTGCCACCTCCCTCCATGCCTCGCTCCTCCGGTTTGTATCCCGGTAAGTAAATAGGGACTGGTCATAAAGAACCGGGTGATTTGCTACCGCAATAACTAACTTCTCCTCCATTTTTGTGGAATATAGAAATGAACTGCGGGTCTGGTTCTCCCAGCTTGCACGCGGTTTGATTGGCTAGCGCTTGAACTGTCAGATTTGCATAAACGGATCTGATTGGCTGTCGCTTCCAGCTCAGCCTCAAAAGTTGTACATTGTTCAACTTTGGAATCCTGAACATCCTGGAAATCTTCGCCTCGCCCCCCCACAATGCAGTTCGGCGACAAGCGAGGGAAAGTGACGTCATCCCCATTCAAAGTCAATGGGCGGAGACGCGCTGGAAGCGGTGGACAAATAAGGGATAATGTGCAGCGAGGCGGTCATTATGGGGGAAAGAACACCTGACAGGCAGATCAGGATCCCGACGCGTAGCGGACGTTGTCTGATTATATAATCATATGCGTGTCTGTTGATCTCCAGATTAACAGCAGCATGAGAATAACCTGCCGAAGGTGCCGATGCTCCATGGCGGAGGCTCCGGTAGAAATTGCCGGTGTAGGTACCAGATATGTTCGGGTGTATTTCCGTCGCATCCGTCATATCCGTCATATACTCACCTCCCTCTGCTCCCAGCGCTCTGCTGCCACACACCGGCCGTCTGCGGAACTGCAGCCGGAGGAACTCGGGACAGCTTGTTATGTGTGGTGGGGTGCTATGGTGGGGTCCCATGTACTTGTGCACGTAAATAATGTTTCTAATTATTTACAATAAAAACATATATATATTCTGCGTTACTTTAGCCAACACTTTTATAAGGCCACTAGATTAGATAATTACGAAATGTGTAGATAGAATACATATCTTTCAGGTTGTTATTTTGTCATTATGTTTAATGTTTTATTTACCTTTTTAGTATTTGTATATAGTATCTGAACTTTGGAGAGGAGTTGGGAGACACACGATACATCAAATCACATCTACAGATCAAGACGAAGTGAATGGAAGTACTCCCATACTCCTAGCGTGAAAAGGAGCACACCATTCAGTTGGCTGTGTTACCTTCTCGATGACACCGTTCTTCTCCATCCTCTGCAGTTCCTCTTTTACCATCTGTAACATTGGGAAGGGCACACGACGTGCTGTATGCACTGCATATGGTTGAGCCCCATCCTTTAATTGGATTTTAACAGGTTCAGTTTTTAGTGTGCCGTGCTCACCATAGGCTTGAAGGTGTTCACTGGTAATGAATTTCACTTCATCAACACGCCTCACCAGGTTCATCTCCACTGACAAATCCCGGCTGAGTAGGTTATTGACACTCTGGCCACGGACTACATATGCTTCAAATAGGTAGTTATTTTCCTTGTAACTAACTGTAGCATTAAAGTGTCCCAGACACAACAGTTCACCTCCTGGGCTGTCTAATGGGATGTCAGCTGGTTTCAGTGTTTTTGGTGGAGTGAGTGTGTGAAATGCATCCTCACGTAAGACGCTGACATCAGCTCCTGTGTCAATTTTAATTTCCATTGGAGTAGAATCCACCTGGAGCTGTACTGTCCACTGCTCTTTCTCATCTGCACTGCACACTGTTGGAGTCTACCGGACCAGGTCCGTCCTCCGCGCAGATCGTTTGGATATGGCTAGAGCGGGGTCGCTGTCCGGATCTGCCGATGACCGTTCTTAGTTCTGAGGGAAAAGGAATTGTGTCCTAGACACTATTCTCTGTTAGCTGTACAAAACTAGACTTTGCACTCCAATGGATTGTTTCTTCAAATAAGCACTTTATTACACAGTTCAACAAAGATACATCAATCCGATACTATACCACAAAGCGCCTTGGACTCCTTCTTGAGTTCTCACCGTGACAAGCTCGTCAGTGTAAGATCCCAGTTGAAGAGAGCCTAGAGTACTGAATACATCCTGCTTATATACTGTTCCTAGCAGAGCCCCCACCTTCGCTGCTTTCTTGTGGTGTAATCTGCCGTTGCTACCCTAGCAACTCTTAGGTTAGCCTTCGGCGCGCTTTTGTTACTTCCTTATTTGCTTTCACTCACTTCCATATCTGGTTTCACTCACAAGACTGCCCTTGTGAACTGTTGCGCCTGCTTGGTGGGTGATTTAGTGTGAGAATAATGAGTTCTGCAACCTTGTGGCTTATCAGTTTGGACATAACAGGATACCTCTGTTCTTAATCTGGTTGACCCCGCGTTTTTGTTGCACACAGTATTCACATAGTATATTTCCACTGAGGCTTCTCAGCAGTTGGACTTTAACACAGTACTGTACTTTTCCACTCAGACAGCTCAATGTCTTAGCTTTTCCATGATAGGCCCACTATATCTTATATTCACTGCCACTTTTGCCTTATCTTTATCCTTCAATCCCCCTTTTGCCCCATTCTAATGATTGGGGCAACAAAACAACGCTATTGTTTATGTACATTTATGTCAGCTGTTTTAGGCTTCTGTCTCTCTTTCCCACATTCTGCCATTCGGTGGTACTGGTGGTGCTGTCGGGAAAGTGTCCATTGCTGCCGCTTCTTCTTCGCCTTCTTCAATGTCTGGGTTGTTTTCTAAGGATAGCAAGGCGAGTTGTTGGCCCAGGGGAGTAGAAGGTGCTATGGCGGTACTAATTATTTTGTCCACCATTGAGCGGATACATGGGATGCAGCAGCACCCGCACAAGGTCAAAATTGCTGCAAACACGGCCATTGATACCAATACTGAGGTGACCAGGGTTTTGTATTTACCGAACACGGACATCCATTCGTCCCATTTACCGTCGATACCAGATTGATCTTTCATGCGGGAGTTGAGGGTTTTCAGACCGTCCAGTGCTATTTGTAGAGTGCCATCTGCAGCGGTGTTGTTGGGAATGAAGGTGCAGCATTGCTCTCCGAACATTGCACATACTCCGCCTTTTTCTGCTAGGAGCATGTCTAGGGCCATTCTGTTTTGATAGGCCATGAGTGATGTGGCTTTCAATTGCTCACTAACTGCCTTGAGTCCGGCATGTGTGAGGTTTCCTAGGCGTTGGATATTATAATGAATGTAATTGATGCGGTCTGAGTTTTTATTGATGACACACCAGGGGCAGATGATGGATGTGAAGCCGTCCGCTACTTGATCGGCTATTTTGTAGTCACTTGGTACGCCCCGTGGTACCCCTATTGCGTCTATGTACGTTGGATCTGGGTCAATCATGGCTTCGCGTTTGACTCTGTTCGTAGTATGATAGGGGTATTGTTCTGCCAGGTTTGTTATGTCCCCTACTTTTAATTTGTAGGTTTTCACTGGTAGAAGCAAAGTGACCAGTGCACATAGACCACTGGCATTATATGGGACGCGATCGTGGAGTTGGTTGCCACCGCAGTGGAACCATATGTCTGCTCGGATTACACCACGTCCAGGTGTAGTTGGTGTCACTATGTGGTCGCAGAGAGTTTTGTTGAACCCCCCGGTGTTTCTGATTGTGGTGTGGAAACGGGTGTAATACAACCTCGGAACTTTTGCAAAGAATAAGGGCTTTTTTAATTCCGCGTTGGCTAAAGGGAAGTAAACGTCGTATTTAGAGCAATTGTGTTGAGGGTTGTCTGTCCCCATTATTTCAGTGGCACACCTTGGTTCTACCGGGGCAGGAATTATGTGGAGCAGGGGTCTGGCTCCCATACAAACGAGGCAGTCATCGCCTGTGTCTAGCGCAGCTTGTTGTGCCATCAGTAACCAGTTGTTGCTGTTTGCTGAGTGTCCCGAGATTCCAGTTGCTGCTTGGAACTCTTGATCAGTTGTCCACTCCTTAGTGGAGTGGATCACCACCCCCTTTTGGACGGATACTATGTCAGATTGTGATCTTTTAATGCGACTGGACATGCATACGTATATAGAGAATTGGGGGCTTGGCGATGTCTTGGGCCATAGATAAAAGGATGCACAAGGGGGTTCATCTTTCTTGGGTTGGGGTACCCCCGTTAAGTCTAACTGTACTACGAGGCCAGATGAGGATTTTGCCAGGTGTACTCTTTGCCTTACTTTTTTCGCTGTTCCTGTTGACGATGAACTCCAATCCGCCCCTGTCTCTCCCACCAAGTCGGTCCACGCTCGACCATAGCTATATCTTTCATTGGGATCGCCTTTTCCGAACCAAAAGTCTAGCGTCATGTACCATTGGTATTTGTTTCCCCACGACCCTCCTTTTTGGTTGAGTTCGTTTGACAAACTGGTGTACGGGATGAGGGTAGTGGTGCTTGAGTCCGAGGGTAGGCAAAGTGTCAGCGAGATGTGTCTCAATGCATCTTTCTGGTTACATTGGGTGAAATTTGCCGTATCTACTGTGCCGGCCACATTGCGGACGTGTCTAGTTAGGCTGTTTTTTGGAGGAGAAAACGTATCTTGTGTAGTTTTATTTTGTGGGGAATTTGGATTATTACTTTGGTCAATGATTTGCCTCCCCCCTTTCACCCACTATGATAATGATTATTCCAACAATAATGAAAAAACACAGTGTTAAGGCCAAGCAATAGAGGTGTTGGTTAGGTCCTGAGTTCTTCTTCATCTTTGTTTTTCTTGTAAAAGTTCTTTGGTGTATCAGTGTAGGTGAGTGTCTCTTGTGTGGTGTGTGTATGTGATGCGTGTGGTGTACCGCCTACTTTGGGGGAGCGGGTCCCTTGTTGTGCCTCCTCGCCGGCTGTTATCTCCTGGGCTGCCGTTGGTTCCCCTGTTGTCTCCTCCTCCTCGGAAGTGGAGTCGATGTCCAAACTTGGGGGTTGGGGGGCTTCGGTTGTTTGCCTGATGTTCAGTTGGCCTAGGTCCTGGATGGTGTCAGCGAGGGTCCTGGTAGGTGCTGGTGCTTCCACACACCTGCTCCAGTGGTACCACGTGTCTCCTTTTCCGTCTACTCTGACTGCATGATCTGTTCGCTGGGTTACCTTGAGTGGTTCAGAGAACCTTGGAGCACACCACTTGGGTTTGATCGTCTTCAGGCGGACGTATTCAGCGTCCCTGCTGCCCTCAGCTTCCTCTGTGTGTCCTTTGGCTCTGGCTGCTGTGGATTCGTCCGCGAACTCTGCAACGAGGCATTTTAGTTGTTTATAGTAGGCCTGGTGCCCCACTTTGTCATACAGTTCCTTTGAAACCGTGGCTCCCGCCCCTGGGCCTGGAAACTGGTGCCCATGAGTCATTTCATATGGAGTGAACCCAGTGGTCCTGCAAATGGAACTCCTGATAGCCAATAGGGCGAGAGGTAGTGCCTCCAACCATGTCATTCCTGTTTCTTCCATCGCCTTTGCTAGTTTCTGTTTTAGATTTAAGTTCATTCTCTCAACCTTTCCCTGTGATTGTGGATGATACACTGCTCCAAATCTGTGGGTTAGCCCAAGAGAGGCTTCCACCACTGCTAAATCGTGATTTTTGAAGTGGCTTCCATTGTCACTGCGAATCTTTTTGGGGAACCCGTGTCTTGGAATGTAGGTTTGTACCAGGAAGTTGATTACAGACTGGCTGTCTTCTTTTGCACAGGGGATGGCTTCTGGCCACCCTGTGTAGGCATCCACAACCATGAGTATGTACCTCTTTCCCCTGTGTCTGTCTATCATGTCTGTATAGTCTATGACTATCTCCTCCCCTGCTATTGTTACTGCAGGAAACTTTCCCTCATGTGGTTTGATGGTGGCCCTCACATTGTAGCGTCCACAAATACTGCATTCTTCAAGATGATTAGCTATTAAATCTGGTAGGTAAGGGTGCCACCAATGGGTCAGGGCCCTAACCATTTGGTTCTTTCCTACGTGTGCCATTGAGTGTGCTTCCTTCATCATAGCTCTTACCCACCCTGGTGGGATCACTGGCCTCCCGTCTGGGGAGTACCAAATGTCATTTGCTCCCTTTCTTGCCCCTTTGTTTCTCCAGGCCGTTAGTTCTTGCGGGGAAGCTTTAGATTGTTCTTTAGCCAACTCCTCATCTGTTCTGGCTTCTAGTATTCCTTCTTGGGGAGCCCGTACAACCATTTGTGAGAATGTGGCTTCGTATCCGGCTGTCTGCTTGGCGGCCAGATCGGCGGCAGTGTTTCCATCGGTTAGGTACCCTGTGGTTTTGGAGTGTCCTTTGCATTTGATTACAGCTACTCTGTTGGGTTTCATGATAGTCTCCTCTAACGCCTTGATTTCGTGATAGTGTTTCACTGGTGTTCCTGTACTAGTTACGAATCCTGCCCTGAGCCATCTTTTTAGGTCGTGGTGCACTACCCCGTGTACGTATGCTGAGTCTGTGTACACATTGATGTCTTGATCTATTCCTTGGTTCAAAGCGGCGATTACGCCCTTTAGTTCAGCTAGTTGAGCTGACACTTTTCCTTTGATGGGGGAGCAGTCAATGTTTTCAAAAAGTCCTGTCTCATTACTTCGTCCTACCACAGCGTAGGCCCCTTTTAGGCCGTCCTGTGGGTGTCTGTAACAACATCCGTCAGTGAACATGTCTCTTGCCCCTGTTACTGGCGTTTCCTGCATGTCTGGGCGTATTTTTACATCCTGTACTACTTTTTCCTCACACCTGTGTGGGACTCCTTCTCCTGGTAAGTAGTCTGCCATGTTGGTGCCTTCATGTGTGTAGGTTATGTGTGGCTGTGTCAGAGACTTTTCTAACCTGGTCTGTCTTGCTGATGTCATGGTGAAGGCCGCTGAGTTGACTAGGGCTACAATGCTATGGCTTGTGAGCACTGTGAGTGGGTGTCTCATCACTATGTGTTGGATTTTCCTTAGTACTCTAGCCACTCCAGCTGCATGTCTGATGCATGGGGGTTCTTTTGCCTCTGCTGCATCTAGTGCTACGCTAGCATACAGCAAAACATTCTGCCTGGACTCTGATCCCCTTTTTCTGGAAAAGTACGCCGTTTACGGTGTTTTCTTTTTCAGAAACATCCAAGAAGAAGGGGTGTTGATAGTCTGCTGAGGCCAGTGCGCATACTGTAGACATATCTTGCTTGAGAGTTATGAAAGCGGGTTCTGAGTCTGAGTCCCATTCTAGTTTGGCAGTCATGTTCCTATGCCCTTTCTCGTTTATCAGTGCTCTGAGTGGTGCTGTGCGTAGTTTGTAGTCCGCTAAATACATACTGGAGTACCCACACAGGCCCAAAAAAGAGAGCATGTCTTTGACCAGTATTGGTTTTGGGTGGGCCAGTATTGAGTCCTGGTGGGTGGTGGACATTGCGGTGCCGTCTTCAGACAGCACTCTCCCTAAAAAGGTAACCTCCTTTCTGGCACATTGGATCTTTGCTTTGGATGCTTTGAACCCTCTCTCGGCCAGTCGTGTTAGAACGGCTTGTGTGGCTTTTAGGCAGGAGTCTGCGTCAGGGCTGGCTAAAAGTAGGTCGTCTACATACTGTACCAGGATGGTGTCTTTGGGTAGGTCTAAGTCTTGTAGCTGTTCCCTTAACACTTTGTTAAATATTCCTAGGGACAGGTTGAATCCTTGTGGTAGTCTTGTGTACTGAAACCTGTGCCCTTTGTGAACGAATGAGAAGATGTGTCTTAGGTCTGTTGCCAGGGGAATGCAGAAAAATGCATTAGCTAAATCTATGACTGTGAAATGTCGGTGTCCTGGACCAATCTGGGCTATTGCCACATGTGGGTTTGGTACCGGAATGGGAGGTGTCGTGATTCTAGAGTTTATGCGTCTTAGGTCATGGGCCATTCGGTATGTCTTACCCCCTGCCTTCTTTACTGGGAGTATGGGAGTGTTCCACTGTAAGTCTGTTGAGTCTTCCAATACCCCTGATCTTATTAGTCCGTCTATGGTTTCATCAATACCCTCTTTCGCCGCTTGGGCCATAGGGTATTGGGGGGCGTAAACTGGTGGGTCAGCTGTGTATTGGAATCGCACTGGTTCGGCCAAGATGCAATGTCCTACGTCGTATGGATCTTTTGACCAAAGATGTCCTGGTAGTTTATCAAACATGCTCTGTGTGTCGGGATGGTCCTGTTTATCCATGTGGTGGTCTCTGACCACCGGGACTTCCTCATTGTTAATGCCTTCCTCTGATGAGTGTGAGATAGCATGTGCTTTGAGTGAGGGTGAGTATTCGACCTGTGGGATGTCTGTAGGTATCCAGTCTGTGGCTGTTTGGGCCTTTTTTACAAAGGGGCCCAATGATCTTGCTTCTGAGGCGGGGCCTAACAATAGGGTTATGTGGGGAACCGACTCTGGTCCCATTCTGTACCAGTAGTCTTGATCAAGGTCGAGGAATACTTCCGCTGCCACCCCTACTTCTGATATGAAAATTCTCCCTGTGCATACCCCATCAGTTTGGTCATACTTTTTGTCATCCCATTCTTCAGCAAACGTTTCGTCAAATGGTGAGCGAGAGTAGAAGAAGGTGACATGGGGAGGGTCTTTTGGGGGGCTGTAGGGATGTATGGCCTGTATCCAAGGTTTCCAAAGGGAGAACTTCCCATATAACGAATCTCTGGCCTTAGCCTCTTCCAGGGGGCGGGTCAGCAGACCCCAATATATGGTTGTTTCTTGGAAGGCCGCTGGACTACAGGATTGTGCTAACAACATCTGGGAATGCGATGATATGGTTGCAGAACAGTTATAGAATGCACCATTGGGGAATGTGACTTTCAATCCGTCTGGGGAGCACAAGATGGAGGCATTTGCTTTTATGAGGATGTCTCTTCCTAACAGGTTAGCTGGGCACTGGGGTGAGAGGAGGTATGGGTGTTGGAATGTCTGCCCAGCGATGCTAGATGGGAGTTTATGGGTAAGCGGAAGTTGTTCTATTTGTCCTGAAAACCCTACTACTGCCACTGTGTTGTGTGACGCCTGTGACTGGTACTTAGGGTCTTTTAGGGTAGAATACCTGGCCCCTGAATCCACCAAGAAAGGCAGTTGTTTGTCTAACACTGTGACAGGTATGAGTGGCTCCGCTAGGCCTCTCATAGTGGGGGTTCCTAGGACTCCCTATGTCATGTACTGGTACTGGTCCTGGTCGTACTCATAATCTCCGAATACGGGACACTGTTGTGGAGGGGGTTGGGTTTGGGGAAATACCGGTGGGGGTGCTTGTGGAGGTCCTGCTGGATAATAAACGCCTTGGGCCACCTGCTCCGGTTGGTAGCCCCCTCTTGACTGTTGTCTCCCTCGGCCAGGTCCTCCCCTTCCTCTGAATCCCCCTGCTTGTTGAGGTCTGGGATGTGCATAGGCCTTTACCGTACCTGCGTTCTTATCTGCTGTTAGGGCTCGGCAAGCTGCTATGTAATGCCCTGGTTTTCCACAATAGTGACAGCCGCCCTGAACTGCCGGTCCACCAGGATAGTATGGTGCCGGGGTATAGTGGCCATTAGGAACGGTGTAAGCCACCTGGGGGGCTCCCATCTGCTGGGGATGTCCATACTGTTGGACTGGGGCCATCACATATGGTTGTACTGGTGCCATTATCTGAGGGGCTGGAGTG